TACTGTAACTGCAAGGCTTCATCCGGTGATGCATTGAAAGCTACGGCTCATTTAGCATGTATTACCTTAACAAGTGTGACTCACATGATGCTACTTTCAAAGGAGATGTTCAGCAAAAAAGAGGCAATTTTAAGATGCTTTCCATCTAAAACTGTTATTATTGTCCAGACCAGATTAGTTGCACCAGCTAGTATGGTGATGTGGCCAGGGTAAAAGAGAGACACCTTCGTGACACAGAGAACTAAGGTTTTATGTTGAACATACCTCGTTTATTAGTAGCCTTCAGCCTTGCTCTACTTTGAAAGTATGCTGCGGGGCCGCCGCACGTCCTACAGTTAAAAATGAGTTTACGGCTACATATTAGCACAACAAAACAACGTGTAGTAACAACATGAGGATACAACATTTGAAACGTCAGCAGATACCATTTAGAACATAGTAACGCTCACTGCGGGTATCACGTTGCCAAGGGAACTAATAAAGCATACAGTGATCGGAATGATTTTGTATTGATGCAGGTTGTCATTGCTCATGCTGAACTACTTAAACTCCAAGTAGACAATCGCTCCATTCCTCATTACCATAGATAATATCTAAGTAATAAAACAATCATTATCAAATTCTGATTTGCCATAGATAAAGTGATTTTATAGGTAGGCTATCATGTAAAAATCTGCTACATAAAATTTATAACTGAGTGTAAAAATACTTATTTCATTTTCATGTGGTTTAGAGGTCAGCTATGGATACTCGGCTGCGAGAATTCTTAACAGAGCGTAAAGCTGAAGAAAATGTGATCAAGAAACTTGAAGATGAGAATGTAAGCCACTGCAGCTGTTGCTGTGTGCGTGCGTGTGTGTCTGTGTGTTTGTTTTTGAACGGAGAGCCACAATTTACTATGCACATTCTAAAAAAAATTATTGAATTTCATATTTTTGTTTAATCAGTGACATTAATTAATGACGTGATATGTTTAAAGAGTAATTTTAAAAGTAATTTTTGTTCATCTTATGTTGGACAAATGTGTACCACATTACCAAAAGTATCTGTTATCAAAAGTAGATAGCAAAAAACAACTCTAAAATATGCAGTTGTATGTATTCAGTTTTTTTTTAATATTGACAATTTTATTAATTTGTTATTTATATTTTTCAGATTGATGAAACTGTCATTCCCTTAATGACAGACAATGACCTGGCAAAGTACATCCCCAAAGTTGGCGATAGAGTCTCCACTGTGGCCTTCTGCAGACAAGCAACACTGTCACAGACGTCACCATCCAGGAAAGAATCTATACTCTCAAGGCTACGACAAAGACTGACAGGAGCTGAGGGGATGCCTCCTAAAAAGAAATTGTCTCAGTGGGCAGAAAATACAAATGCAAAACAAACAGTGAGACGAATTGAGGTTGGCTGGATGGATTTTGATGAGGAGAAGGGTGGGTTCAAACAGGTGAAGTCTGTAAGTGGTGGAGGAACAAGGCATTTATCTGTAGATAAAAATGAAACAGTGTCAAATATCAAACTTATGGCTGAAAATCTGTTTTTCCCCAATGGCACCTCAAAAAAACCAAAAGTCTTTCACACTATTCAACTCATATTGAGAGCTCACAGATGCATGTGGATGCTTCCAGTACAGTTGATGAGTTGTATAAGCAAAGTAAAGTCAAAATTCTGCGACTTTATCTGTGTACCAGAAAGAAAACACAACAGCAGCCCCAAGACGTAGAGGCTGATCATGCAATAACCCAGCCCTCTGTGGTAGATCTCACTGGCAATGAACCTAATCAGGCCGCTGATGATCTGTTGGTGGAAAACATAAATTCAGAACCATCAAACCACTTTGTAATTAATGATGGAGCTTCCATAAGTGGATATTTGGAACTGAATGACACATTACCATGGGATGGTCTGCCAAATGTAGGTGAAAGTGAAGATTCTGATGCAGTTGTTATTATTAGTGGGGATAACATGGTGGATATTAGTGTGGTTGAACTAAACCCTGAAACACTGTTTACAGAAAAAGAGTCGGATCCACCTCATCACACATTGTCTCTCTCACCGGAGAGGCCAATATTCCTCACCAAGCACCCCCTGAACCACGATCTTGTCCCGTAATACTGACTGTTAGAAGAGGTCATTGTCTTCACTAACATAGAAGTGCATCTGTTCCTGCTGCACACATTGTTACTGTGTTTCTGGTTAGTGCCAAAATAAATTACTAATTTTAACATTCTAATACTTTTTTACTACAGGAAGAGTAACAAATATTTCCAATATAGCATACAGTAACAGTTCTACAAACTGGAAGATTGCTGAGTGCTGTCTACTGTATATACATACATAAGTACAACACCATTACAAATACCATATTCCAACTGATTAAGCATGTTCTATATTAAAGTATTTCAGATGTTTGCAGAAATCTTAATAGAAACAAGAATGTGAACCTTTATGTTCCTAATGGGTTTAGAAGAAAAGTTGTCAATTACAGAGATTGGTTACATTGTAAAGAGGTTTGTATAACATTTTAGAAATAACTGTTATTTTATCCTGTTATTATATGCAAAATACAACCTGTTTTTGAGTATGGTGTATTTTGAAAGACACCAGTAAACCATTCTCATTTGTACAAAACTTTGTCCTCTCTGTTACATTCTATACATCTTTATTAAGCATGAACATGTCTAATGACACCGCTGAAAGTTATTTAACTACTCATTCTGTAATGTCATACACGTGCTATGATTTTTAAGAAAAGAAGCCGTTCTTTATCAAACATGGGATTGCTTTAATCTATTCCACAATAACAAAATTATAGGCTCAAGAAACATTTGGAGCATTGGTGACACAACTATGATTCTACACTTTAGCCTACTTGGTCTTCTTGTCTAATTGATCACAACATTAGATATATTGCCAGTCTATGTGGTTGTTATCCAAGGTGCTCTTGTTTTTGTTAGAAATGAACACATTTTTGGTACCAAAAACTATTATGAACAACTTTTGATGCTTTAACAGTGTGATAAGTTTAACTCAATCCCAAAAGGATTTATTTTTTTCTAACCTGTATCATATTTTAGTTTAATACTCCACGCTTTGTAGCTACCAAGAGCAAGCAACACTTCATGATGAGTTAATTTACTGACATGGATAAAATGAAAATTATGTTATACAGTCTTTTCTGATAATTTTGATACAAAGACAAGATAACTACACACTGGAGAAAAACAATTACTTAATAATAAGTACATTAAGCTGTAGGAATACGTACTGAAGTACAAAATGTACTACATTTGTATGTTTGTGTCCATTTAAGTAGCCTCAAATAACTGTGAACGAACTGTATCCCTGAGATGAAAATATAAATCAAGGGCCTGGGACATGGTAGATGGGAATTCCAAGCTTGATTCCTCCATTATTATTGTGCACAAATCAAACACTTGCACATCACATGGGACTGAACTAACAAAAGTGCAGCTATTTTTACACAAGGTCAAATCTTCTGTCAGTGGAACGAGACAGTCTTCTGCACCCCAAAGGTGAGGGGCCATGTACATGACATCAGGTATCCCACAGGGCACGTTGTTATTCTTTGAGGGCCTTATACGGTGAGCATTCCAAACACTCCGGATGTCATTCAATACCTCCTGATGAAGAAACAAGAATTAGGTCAGAGCTGTAATACAAGGCATTTTTAAAATGGTCGAAAATAAGTGTGGTGCATCCTTAAATGAATTGAAAAGCAGCAATGTTTGGATGCAGTTTAATGAAAACCAAAGGAAGAGGGAGTGATTGCAAAAAAAGAAAAGAAAGAACCACACCAGGCAAACCACTGAGTTGTGGGATCTGGGCTTTTATATACTAATACTAATCTTGGTCCGGATGCGCAAAGCTTTTCAACTTTATGCGCATAATACAGGTGACAAAATCAATATTTTTCAATCCCATGAGGGGATCCAATATCATCTCAGACCTGAATGTACCAATGATAGAGCGCTGAAGAGTTACTGATGCGTGAAGCTCTGACTGCTTTTGACAGACTGGCAGTGACAGATCGGTAGCTGCAGCATAACTGATGCAGAATGAGCGCAGACAAGGATAATGTCCTCCGATCAGAAAAAAACAACATTTAAGTCGTGCTGACTTCTGATCAGTTCAATTGGCAAAGTGTTCCCTGATTTAAAAACTTTGGCTGGGTTGATGCTTCAGCCTCCATTACGCACATACAGAGCGCAGTTGACCTACTTCAACAACGTTAGGAATACATTGCATTTACCGTTCGGTAAAGGTAATGTCGTTTTAACTATGTAAACGATTATTTTGTTACCCTTACTGCTAAAACAGCGTAATTTAATGTAATTAATTACCACCACTAGTTATCATAATATGGGCCATTTACCTGAATGATTGGCATGAAGCAGAACTGTGACAGAGCTTTGTCAATGAAATCCCCAAAGAAGAATCCTTCGTCCTTCAGTTCTCCTAGAAGCTTGATCCATGACTCGACTCCTTCTTTTCTCATCACTCCCCACCAGCTCTCAATTCTCTGGTTTGCGGTACTTGCTCCTGTGACGTAGCTTCTGTCTCCTGCTCTATCATCCCCGTCATTTCTCCGTAAATAAC